CCCCGGGTGGCACGGTCGCCGCCCACCGGCACGCGCGACTGCACCGATCCCACTCCACTTCCCACCCCCCCAAAAGCATCCGCTGACTTATCCAGAATGAAGTGGTACCCAGTGCTCACAGAGGGAGGAAAAGCAATTAAAAACCCTACCTGAACCCTTAATTAAAAGCTGCTCTCAAAATCAGTGCCACCAAACCAAGATTTCATCCAATTAGGCTAATAAGACTCACATTGTGAAGCTCAGTGATTAAGACTTTCCTTTAAAAAACCTCCAGAACTACAGGTGGTCTTGCAGGCGCGTTTGCCCTCCCTCCTGCAGGGCTCTTCTGCCCCAGCCAGGTAGCTCCGTGCACCCGCTGTGCCGGGTGCCACCCGTGGGAGCTGCTCCCTGCCCGAGCTGGCTACCTGGGACCCTGGCGGGGGGCTCCCCCAGCAGCCAGGCAGGAGAATGGGGCCCGGCAGGGCAGGCTCCAGACCGCTTCTGATAACTGCAGCCAGCCTCTCCATAGCAGGAGCACAAACAGGAGGAAGTGGTGTGGAGAAGGGACCAAGTTATGCTGAGAAGAATTACTTACTGTGAACAGGAGGATGAAATGTCTGTTTCAATGTAGCCACAATAACCAGAAGATACAGTTTTACCAGCAAATTTATTTTCTTTAAACAGAAGCAAACCCTATTTAAGGTTTTGAGTTCTAACATGTTTAGAGCAGGTTAGTAGGAATTTGGCAAACAGTACCGTTTTGATGAGCCTTGCCTCTGCAATTCTGGGAGCCCATCACTGGTCTCCAGAACACGCCAGGAGCTGAAAAGTGGACTCATTTTCAGAAAGAGTGGGAATCTTGGGAGCAGCTATGATAAGAGTCTGAAAGAACAACTTTCTTAAGACATATAGATGGGGAAGAAAAGCAGGATGAGAAAGGACAGAAACAGAGATGGGTGGAGAAAGACTTCTCCAGCTAGGCACTCTCAATAGCTGACATCTGCAGTGGCAGAGAATAGGAACTGGAATTGCAACAACGGAAGGAAACTGGAGCCAGAGGCAGGCTGAGGAGAAAGGGGAAGGCACCACTGATCCCACAGACCAGGTCTGCAAAGAGCCTCATCGGGAACCGGGGATTTAGCTTATAACTGATGACAGGAGAGTGCCTAGTTAAGATATCCAGCTTTACACTCCAACAGAAGTCAGCAGCAAGAATGATATTCCGATTAATATAACATTAATTTAGTATTAATAAAGGTGCATTCACCCCAAAGCAGATGGGGCACTGTAAGGCTCAGAGGGGTCCTCCTGGGCAGTGTTTCTGCACAGGGGTACCAGAGGACATTCCAGGACTTGGCACTCAGGGATTTACATGAAAGACTAGCAGCAGCAAACAGGGGAATCTAATAACAGCAGCTGCTTGTGCAAATGCAGCTGTGCCTAGCAGCTGGCTGCCAGGTGAAGCTGTGTGGGCAGGGGTGGGCATCAGCTGGAAAGCAGGCGGGGAGGCTGCTGAGGAGGCTCCGTTTACATGCCTGAGGCCAGGAAGCTCTTTGAGGAAAATGTGAGCAGAAACACTATCATGCTGGTCGTCTCCTGTCCTGATCACAACATGACTTGGAGAATAACAAAGAAGCTTCTTGTGTCTTGAGAACCTCCCCTAAAGGTATGCCAAGCAAGACATGAAACTTGTAGCCCACACCAAAGAACTACCAGTTTTCACTATATTCTCCACAAATGAGCTGGATAAGCTACATCTTTAGGAACATCCTGTTGTTGCACCCAGTTGACAGGGACTTTCCACAAAGACAGCTTTCCTAACTCAGATCAAGCACACAGAACTGACCTTAAACAAATTCGTTTACTGTTTGGCCTTTTTCTGTAGTTTAACTCAGAAGCCTGGATGGCTCCACATACTTTCAATAGCACGTGCATTCAGTGAATGAACTAATAAATCCACAAACAAGGCACACACGAGCAGGCTGATGACATACAGGTATGGTGGACATCGGCACCACTGTGCGATTTTAAGGGTTAAAAAGAAAATACTGGGAGCCTGCAGTTCTGTGTGAATATCTGTAACTGATGAAACCAAATACAATTATGACAGATATGGAAAAAAAAACACTTCCTAATTTAGATCTGTTTTCTTTGTGTCACACCTTAAATCTAGATATTTTTCTATATAACAGGAAAACACAACCACTGATTAAATTATTATTTAATAGGCTAATTAATGACTTCAGCCAGATTTGCATTTGGGACTCATTTTGGTTTATATAATAATTATAGATAATTAATCTTTCTCAAGCCTTTCCTTCCTAGCTAAATATGCCGGGTATCAAAAATGACAACAAATTGTAAATTAATCTGGAAAACAAAGCGCAGCAGATGAAAGACTTTGTTAGAATTAATCAGGCACTAATTATACCATGGAATTAAGGAAACAATAAGCCTAGAGAACATTTCTGTAAGAGTGCAGGTGTTAACTGAAACCCCTTACCTTCCGAGCTGAGAGCATTTTCTTTCAGCCAGCGCTCTGCCTTCAGGCAGTCCTGGTCGTCATTGAGAGTAAAATGATTGGAAGGGACCTTCCCTGTGTATCTCTGTGGCCACTTACTCATGACGTCTCTGTTAGTTGGGAGTTTGCTGATATCTGCTCCAGTGGGGGCTGCTACCTGGAAGACACGAATCAATCAATGAACATATGGCATATATCTTGGAAAACTGTTCAGAAAGATGTTCAAAACCAATGGCATGAGCCATGTGACCCCCTAAGGGCAGCTAACCTCCCTCATCCAAACGTTCAGCAGTAGCAAACACAGGAGCAGCCACAGAGACAATGGATTTGTGCTAGTGTGGGTACACACACAGGTACACACATGGATGCATCCCATGTTTTTCTGGGGGATGAGGCAACCGTTTCTCACGGCAGTGCCAGAACAAGTGAATAACAGTACAGCCAAAATGCAAATGAAAATGACTTGACAGCAAAAAGCAGAAATGCCAAAATGTACTGTTGAAGGATCTCTTCAGTTATTGGATCAACCGTCTCCTGAAAATTCTTTGTGCAGCAAGACTGCCTCCAGCTTTGGTCAGCAAAAATCAATCTTCTCAAGCAAGACAGATTTTATTCCAGAGGAAGGGACCCAAACCTGCTTGGCGGTTAAAATGCCAGAATTCAGTAAAGTGTTAATTCTGTAATGCTGCTTTACAGCAACAAATTCCATCTGAATTATACAGAGCAAAAAGATGGAATCTCATCTATGACTTCTACAGCACTAGTGATTAATATCCTGAACAATGTTCTCACTGCCAACTGGGTCAACTGAAACATTATTCGGTCATATAAACACAGGCATGACATCAAAAGATCTTATTTACCCAACAAGTAAATCCTCTTAATCATAATGAATAATGTTTTGCTAGGCATTAATTTGACTGCTTACCAAACAAGGGACAACTTACAAAAAGGATGGACTACAGCTCTGTGTAATAACACAGAAACCAGATGATAAAAATTATTACTTTTTGTAGAGCTTAAAAGTGAGAACTGATGACATTAGGTTTTCTTCTGAAAGGCAGATAAAACTCAAGTTTTCTCTTGCTTGTTTTATCTTTCTCCTCCAGTGTAATTACTTCCCATAACTTATTTTGTAAGTCAGGGCTACCTCCAGGCTTCGTTTTCTAGGAGCACTTAAAAGTCATTCAGACCACACTTCAGCTTTTGTTTCATTCCTGTTGAGCAGGGTACATGGGTTGTTGTTTGAAGCAGGGCTCTACTCGGAAAAGCGATTATGGAAAAACTGGGGCTTTCTTGCTCCCCATCTCTGCCACGTGTGTGCCACCCATATTTCACTGTGGGGCTCCACCCACCCCGCTGTCGCATTTGTCAGTTGTGGTGAACACCACTGTAAAAACCTGTAGACACATGCTCAGTTTGATCCTGATTTTAAAGGCAAAACACCTTGCTCATGATCCCTACCCAAAACCAGGCAGGAAGGTGGAATCAGGGCAGGCCACAGGGCTACACAAAGGTGTCCAGTCACCTCACAGAAATTGAAGGCCATGCGATGATGCAGGGCTGGAGATGAACCTGATTTCACATTTCACACGAGCTCAGGGTCTGCTTCAGTCTCACTGGACACTTCACCATGTGCTACAATAACATGCCGCACCACGTGTGTGCCTAGGCATGGTCCTCACGGGAGAGGAGTAATTAATTTGATAAGGAATTCTCTCCATTGCCAAAACTAGGTCAAATGGTGCTAGACCAGCTGGAGTTAAGTCTCCTGTGGCCTGGGCCACATGTCAGTTGGGCCTGCTCTTCAGGAGGTTTAATGGTCATGGTGGCAAAAACACTGGCAGCTTTGCTTAATATCCGATACTAAGCAGTGACGCTGCTGGCAGAAAATTGTGTAAAACCTCTCATCTCACCCAGATTCTGCAGCCACGCCGAACCAGCACAACCTGCTACATGGAAGGGCTGCAAACTTCCTGGTTATACACTTGCTAGGAGTACTCTGCTGCTTTGCTAGTCACAGAAACGCTGCTCGCTGGGAAAAGGGCACACGTTGCTGTGTTTGGCACTCCGCACACGGCCTCACCTGGTACCTCTGCCCCGTGCAGAGGACAAGGTGGTCGTATGGCACCTTCTTCTCCTTGGAAACCACTACGTATTTGGCAGCGCGGTTTATGCCAGTCATTTTACCAACCACAACGTTAACCCAGGAACAAAGTGACATCTGTGCATAATCTTCATCATTAAAACAGTGGCTGTGAAGAAAGAATATCTGTAAGTGACATTTCGGCAGCTGACAGCAGGCATTAATTAGACATCTGGTGGGTTAGCCAAAGTCCCCCAGTGGTTCAAGCCTGTTCCCTCGCTGTGAGTTTGTGGCAGTCTATAGTACAAGATTAGTTATTATGAAATACTCAGTTGCAAATTGACAACTTTCTGCTAAAACCAAACAACCCCTCCCGGCACTGGGCCATACAACCACATCATTTAAAAACAAAGTCCGAAATACATGGTTTACTCAGCTTTTGCTTTGCAAGCTGATGAGAGGAAGAGAATTTGTACCTGCAAAGAAAGGTACAGTCTAATTCTTTTTCTTATACAAGACTCCCTTGTTCTTTTTCTGCTTCTGCTTCATTTGGTACTCAGCTTCACCAGCACCACCTACGTTGAGACACACATGCAACGAAGGCACCGTGTGGTCTTAAATTTCTGCCATCCAGCACTGACGCCTGTTTTCGATTTAAAATATGCTGTATAACCCTATGTGGGTGGAAGTATCAAAGATCTGGAAGCTGCTATTTAAAACGCCAAATTTGAAGCAAATTAAGAATAGAGCAAAACCTCTTTTAATACATCAGTAATGAAAGTGAAAATTATTTCCAAATGTCTTTTATGACTCAGAGTATGTCCCCACCTTGCCCCACTAAGCAAATAACAGGATACTTATTTATTACTGGATTTGTACTACCCTCTATGCTTAATAGACTTCTGGAAAGACAAATATTCCTGAAGATAAAATACTTCCAGACAGATGTACAATAGACATATCACTGCACAACGCATGGAGGACCAGAGAGAACATTTTCCTCGAGGTCCATTATGACTTTTGAGTGCCACTGAGTCTTGCCCATTAGGAGAACACACAGTCCACTGCTGGCCAGTCTGAAAATCCAGCTAGACTCCATTCAATACCTCCCTGATACTGAAAACTTAAACCAGGCAAAATTCTCTTAAATTAGGTTCTCGCAGTACTCAAACCACAATAACAATGCTACAAAATTAATTGTGGTTACAGAGTTCCCAGAATTGTCATACAGGATGCCACAGAGGCAAATAAAGTTGCTTTCATGACCTGAAGAATTTTAGAGCTGAATGACAAGGCTTTCTGAGGTGCTCTGCATCTCCTTTGTTCACAAATACCAGAGGCAAATAAATAAGGGAAGAAAACCACTGACAATTCTAAACTGTAATCGTACAGAAATCTATAAATAAAATGGACATCAAGGACAGATGAGGGTTTTCAAAAGCACCTTTATAATTGAGGTGCACAGCTCCCAGGAGACTGACACTCCAAAATCACAGGGATGCTTTCAAAAATCATACCCTGCAGAGTTCCATTTTCACTCTTAATCTGCTTTCAAATTTTAACAGCTAATTCTGGTCAGGCAGCTATGAAGTGCAACTTTCCGTCAGATAGGATGTTTTGTTATTACAACTCTTTTTTACAGTATACTTAGGAAAAAAGAGTACATGCATTTTCGTGAGCACATAATCCTTTCATTTACTAGATTTGTACTTAAGCACAGCCCTTTCTACAATTTAAAAAATTAATTCGGGTAACTACTTATAAAAAAAATTCCTTGGCAAGGCAAAATTCCAAACGAAATAAAGGTGGTTTTAAAGAGGTTCACATCACACCATTTTCATGGCTTAATAGAGATTTCATGTTTAAGGTTCAGCAAGCAGTCATGGAGTAGTTTTGTCATTTAAGGAGCTGGACCTTCAGTCCATTGCTTTTTACTGATTAAAAGATCTGGTAAAAAACAATGCAGGTTCCAAAGAGTCACATGCCAAATCTGAATAAATCATACAAAGTTCGTTCTCCCAATAGTCAAAATAACTCATTCATGTCAATTCTATGTTCTCAATGTCCAGAACAACCATGTTCCTGTCTACAGAGAAGATTCCTAGTCACTATTCCAAAATAAAAAATAAAAAACAAATCAAATCAAAACAAACATACTACATTTCAATGAGAATTATGTGCTATGAATTTTAATGAGGTCAGATTTTATCTTACTAAATGGAAGGTGTTTTACTTATCTGCAAACAAGAAATCTCTGGCCACTCACTGGACATGCCCACAGCTACCTCCTGCATCCTGCCCATCAGCTGCCTGGCACCCGAGCTGTGGCTCTGCCAGCCCAGGGGACAGCGCTCGGCTGGGACTGGGGACAGACCTCTGCAGCCCAGCGACTGCCACACAAGTAGCTCACAAGCAGCAGAACGGATGCAGCACGGTTCTTCCAAATTTATCAACAGCAATAATCCTAAACTCGCCCCTGTGTACTCAGCAGAACACCCACTGCTATCAGCAGGGTCTGCATCTCACCACATGGCTGCTCTAAGTAGATCACTGGTCACGTTGCTAATATTACTTCTTATACCTTCTATTGTTCAGCATTATTTGGAAAAAAACTCATGGAATTTAAAAACTAAGTAATATTTAAAAAGCAAGCAAATATCATCCATCACTTTTCTTTAACCCATAGATGTAAACAACCTAAAAAAAGTCTTGGAAAGGGGAGACCAGTGTCCTGGTATAATGCCATGGGTTGCTGTCCTGGAGTTACTGCATTAGCAATATTTCCCTGGTAGTGGTTACATTCAACTCACTTCACAGGTGAACGCATGTTGTACATGTGTCTACGTATTTGTCTAAAATTTAAGACAAGTTCATAAATAATTACAAAGTGTTACATTTCCCTTTGAAAGTATGGAAGTGTTTAGAGATTAAATCAAACCTGTTAATTAAAAATCTTCTATGTTTGAAGCCCAGAAGGTCTCTTCCTGGAAGGCCATGAATTGAAATCAAGGTCAGATTGTTGAACTTGAGATCTGGACTGTGGAAAGAAAAACAAAATGCCACAATTCAACCAGTGTAACTTCGCTGAGGCTCCACTCAGCACCAGCCCAACACGAGTGGATGTCAGCGTATGGACATACGTGGTGTTCTCAGCTTAGCTTCCTGCTCCAGCACGGGGACTTTTGAGCTGTACAGCGTCCAGCACAGCACTGTCCCAGGCCTGACAGAGGTATTTAGACTCTAGCACGTAACTAACAAGCCCAATTCCTAAGCCTTTATGGCAGGACTTGCCTCCCGTGACTACACAAGATATTGCAAGACCACCGAGGCTTTGGTCACACACGTTTGCTGTTCATAGCTGCAGGAAAGGGAAAAAAAATTCCCAACTACCAGTAATCCATCTGCTTCCTTCAGAAGGGCATATCAAAGGAACAGAATAGATTTTAATTCCATCTTCTGCAGGATACAGAAAGTGATCCCTTTACCCAGGCCAGGTACAAAGGGTTTTGCCATTTTGCTGAGATGCATGTGCCTTTGGGCACAAAAAAAAGACTACTTTTCACCAGAGTCCCATTAACACCAGAGTAAAGGGGGGAACAAGACTGACAGCGTGTTGAACTAAATGTGATCTGACATTTAAAAACAAATAAATATTATGAGTGATTAAGCCTTCTAATCTTCAAGGCTTTCTGTAAGTTAAGTATGGATTGATGCAAATGGTACAAAGGAATCAGAATGTTTTTTATCAACCAATGTTAATTTGTTATTCATATGTTTAAAAAAATATTCAAACAAAGTTAAAGGTCATACTTAAACCATGGAATTTCAAGGTTATGGCTGCCCCTCTCTAAATGCATATTAATAGTTTAATTCTGGATTATGGATTATCTATGGTAAATCTCCGTGCATACTCAGGCTGAGTGCAACGTAATAAATAACCTTAATGTAACAGAGGGCATATATTTATACAGATTATGGGCCTGATTCTCATTTAAATTAAGGTCACTCTGCAGAGGTGGGTGCAAATAGAATTTGCTCTTCATTTATGACCACATTATGCTGGCTGAGTGATACAAAGTGGTCTTCATGTAAATGAGAGTTATCCCAGTATGTGAAGCTAAATTTAAAGCATACAGGATGCCATCTGCAGTCGGGGAGCACATGCTGAACAGTTACAGTGACTTTATACACCTAAATAGTACGACTCCTTGGCATTTAGCTTGCAGGCAGCTTACAGGGAAACTCGCTGCAGCAGTGCACAAACGTCCTAGACATCGTCCTGTCCTGCCTGCCCTCATCACAGAGTGAAGTTTCTTTCAGCTTAGAGCTGAAATCATCTCTGTACATGCTGTATGGCTTCTCGCCAATCGGTCTCCAAATCCAGGTGCTAAAGTAATACTAAGTTTAAATTACATTAACAATGTTTAGGATGAAAATGTTGTAAGCAAACATGAGAAAAATGGCAGAATGAAGGTCCCATTCCAGGCAGCATTACTGTGCCTCTTGTGCATGACTGCACTATGATGCACTTTATTGATCTGGTCACACACTGTTTTCTTCAGCAGATGCTCCACTTCTGTTTAGTCCACACGCAGTCATCCAGTCTTTCCACAGTCATATGGTGTTTGTTCAGTTCTTCCCCACTGAGCGTGAGGCTTCAGTTCAGACCTTTCACTCAGTACGATCTACTAACTAATGACTTACCTCTACCTCAGCGCTCCTGTGGCATTCCCATGTGCCCCAAACATTAATTCATGTTTCCCACTCATTAATCTTGGAGGCATCAAGATGTTGATTAGCATCTCCTTAGAATTCTTTGATGGAACAAGTCATATCTTTGATTCCCATTTTACAGTGTGAAAAATCAAGGCACAGAGAATGGGATTAAAGCTATCAGAGAGGCGTGCTGATGTTGGAGGCAGAAGCAGGGAGGCCCTGGGGCTGGCACCTGGCACTGCCCTGTGCTCAGACCACAGGCACGCTGCCCTCCTGGGTCTGAGGAGCTGCAGAGCTCCAGGCACATGCTCAGGCAAATAACAGTCATGTTTTCAGAGAGGTAAAGTTCTTCTTCAGCTAAGAATCAACCTTTGTTAAATGTTTAAGCATAGGCTGGCATCTGTGAAATTTAGCAGAACCTTTAAGTAAATGAAATCCCCAGTATCTTGTATGACAAAAACTTGATGTCAGAACTGTAGCTGTATGGCTAACTCTAGGATTTTAAATATAGATACAGGCACTTAAATACAAGTCTGGAAACTGCAGGCACGCTGCCGAGCCACCGTTACCGTTGGGCACTGGCACGCGGGGCTGCAGGGAGGTGACAGGTCTGGGTGGTTTGACCAGTGACTGTTACACACATTACCACACTCTGTATCATCCTCCGCGTTCCTCTACGTGGCATTATTATTTTGAGGCTAACAAAGATAGCTTACTTATTGTGACTTTTGATTCCTTACTGCTGCTTAAAAGCTCTTAATAACTGAAAACCAGCCCGTTCAGAGAGTGAACATCTTGCATGCTTCTAATATACACAATGCCTAACATGAAGCAGGGTACAAGCAGAGGTTCCTGTTTGGTGAAAAAGTCCTCAAATTAAGAGCCTGAACTAATGCAACATAAAACAAGTGCACCTGCATTTTAGAAGCAAATAATTCCAGCAGGGATTCGTGTTGCTGTGGATACAAAGGGAAGAACAGCTCAAAGATACTGGTAAAGCAGGGAGGGATTAGAGTATCTAGGGAAATAAGTAAAAGGTATTGGGTTTCATTGCACTGTTTTAGAAGACAGCTACAAAAAAAAAAAAAGTCTGAACACTCTTGTCCTCAAAATAAAATGGGATTGCAAGTTTACTGTTATCATAATCAAAGGAACAAACAAAAAAAGTTTTAGTACATTACTTAGATGCATCCTGGCATTTGTGAGTCCATTGGAATATTCCTTGCTGGGTTTTATGATCTTTTTTTTGCCTGATGTCTTGCTACCTTTTTTTTTTTTCTCTCTTGTATGCACGACGTAATGATCGAGGCTTAGATGGTGGAAAGTGCCTGAACAAATTATTTAATTAATTGCTTTCATTAAACCCCTCATTATCACAAATAATAACTCAAACCACTTTTGTTATAAAAAAAGTGCAGTGAAGTAGTCTACATGAACCTGAGCATTTCAATTTATTTGAAATGAAGCAGCATGCTTTTTTTTTTTTAAAAAAAATCCAGTTATTTATAAAAACTAAAATTAAAAAAAGGGTGACAGAAGAAAATGCTTTATCTTGCTATCAAACCTGGTAACTATGAGCACTATTCTCCTGTACACATAATCTTTAAGCAACAACTTTAATAACTGGAATTATAATCTATCCAAAAGTAAAGTCCTAATTATACCATATCTTCAAACGTGCTGCAGCAGAGCACTTGTAAAAATGGCAGCTCTAGATTGTTCTAAAAATGGTAACAAAGTCTGTTTTCAACACTAGATTCTGAAAACTTAGACGTGATAAATTCTTGCATTATTGAAACTTTGAAAAAGGAACCTTAAGATCTTTGTGGGAAGGAAGAAGCCCTGAATGAGAGGTGATGATTAAAAAAAAAGAGTCCTCACAGGCAATATAACCTGGTGTCCAAGGCACAGAAACCCAGAGTGCCCAGTGTCGCTATAAAAGGCAGATACAGGCAGTAGTTCTCCTTTTCCCAGATTAATAACAATTTATCTAAAGTAGGTGTTTTTTTTAAAGGAAATATCAGCATCCCAAACATTTAAAGAAGAAAGTAATTGGGATATGAATTGCAGAATAGACTTCTCCAAAAGGAAAAAGTTTTCTAGCAAGTTTTCCAACTCTACACAAAACCACAAATAGAAACTCTCAGCTTAACAAAGGTTGCTAATATTAATAGCACCACCAAAACCCCCTCTCATTCCTATGTTCACTAAAGGATAAATATGTCACTTAGCACTATAGACTTCCTTTGAGTAATCATTACAAGTAGTGCGTTTTAGTATATGATCAGTACACTAAATTGCTTTTGTTGGCTTGGATAAAGCCCAGGGCTCCCACTGGCAGAGCTGTTGAAGCCTTCGCCCTTCTCTCCACTTCCACCCACCCTCTGGGCAGCTACATTTGACTCAGAAAAGTCAGAATTGACAAAAAATCAAGTATGAAGACATGTGAAAACACAGCACCCGTTCCCCTGTATGACGCTACCTGATGCCATTCCAGTAGCACGAAGGCTCTGCAACTCATCCCACAGCACTTGGTTACTAAGGTTTTAGTAAGAGTCAGTAACAGAAGCAGCAGAAAGGGCTTATTGTTTGTACCAACAATTACCAAAAGTGTCTGTTCTCAAGAACCTTACGTAACTGCATCAATTACAGACCTCGGAACAGGATTTCAGCTTAACTGCTGACCAACAGATGTCCATCTAGAAGTTATCCCTCTTTAATTACAAGCAAACAAAGATAAGCCCAGTTCTCCATTGGATCCACCTTAGGAAAAAGTGTTAAGATGGTGAATGAATTTGCTTAATGAAAGAAGGGATAACAATAAAGTCTTGCTGGGACACTTTTCAATGCAAGGGTCAAGAAAGGGGGTTACCACATACTCGTATTTTCCTATAAACGGCACCCATGGTGACTCTTCCTCCCAAGGCCAGCAACTGGTGTATCAAGAACACCACCAACTGAAATCAAAAGATAAGGAATCGTAACTGGCAGTAGCTCACATTTAATTTGACCATCACTTTTGACACCAGGGGATAGATAAGCCAGTTGCTTACTTCAGTAGGAGAATTCCCTCCTTTTTCTTCCCAGGAGATGACTGTTTCCATTCCAACCCTTGTGAAATTCACCATCCTTTTTGATTTCAGAATACACTCTTGTAAATTGTTCAGAACAGAGGTTAAAACCAAAATGTTTGGTTTTGATTTTGATTTTAAAAAGATTCAAGATGTAGTTTCTTTAAAAACAAAAGTGCCACTTTTTAATATGACACTTCAGCAAAATATTTCATCACATCCCAATTACTTCCTCCTGATATCAAAGCAG